TTTGCGTTCAACAATGTCATTCTTAGTATATACTCTTCAGGGTCCTAAGATAACTTCTTCATGCAGTCTGTCTAGAATTCTTAGTTCAGTGGAAGAAGCTGAGAAGACTATTCTTACTTCATTTTATTTCAAGTAGAATTCTTGCTCATTTTTTAATCTGTTTTTATTTTATATATTTATTTAGTTATGAAATAGGGTTTTGCTGTGTCACCTAGGCCTGAGTGCAGTCGTATGATTATAACTCACTGCAAACCTCAAACTCCTGGGCTCAAGTGATCCTCCTGCCTCAGCCTCCTGAGTAGCTGGGACTACAGACACGTGCCACCACCAATGGCTAATTAAAAAAAAATTTTTTTTTTTGGTAGAGATAGGGTCTCACTTTATCTATCAGACTGGTTTCAAACTTCTGACCTAAGTGATCTTCCTTCCTCAGCCTCCCAAAGTGTTGGGATTACAGGCATAAGCCACTGTGCCTGGTTCAAGTCTGAGTTTTTAGTCTTTGTGATTGATGTGTAGGAATTATTTATATAGTAAGGATATGAGTCTGTTGTCATGATGTGTAGGAATTCTTTATATAGTAAGGATATGAGTCTGTTGTTAGTATGTGTACTGCAGATACTTTCTCTTAATCTGTAGCTGTTTTATTTCTTAATTGTATGTAGTTTGATGAGCAGAAATAGTTGATTTTGATGAATCTAGTTAATTATTTTTTTTTCTTTATTCTTAGTGGTTTCTTCTTCTTCTTCTTTTTCTTTTTTTTTTTAAGACTGAGTCTTGCTCTGTTGCCCAGGCTGGAATGCAGTGGTGTGATCTTGGCTCACTAAAACCTCTGCATCCTGGGTTCCAGCAATTATTGTGCCTCAGACTCCTGAGTAGCTAGGACTACAGGCATGCACCACCACGCCCAGCTAATTTTTGTATTGTTAGTAGAGATGAGGTTTCATCATGTTGCCTAGGCTGGTCTTGAACTCCTGGCCTGTATTGATTTATCCACCTTGACCTCCTAAAGTGCTGGGATCACAGGCATGAGTCACTGTGTCTGGTTTCTTTATTCTTAGTGGTTTCTTAATGCTGTATTTCTTGCTGGAAATGCAGTTACATGCTTTTTGTTGTTGTTGTGACAAAATACATATAACACAATATTTATCGTATTTAGCCATTTTAAAGCGTTTAATTTAGTGGCATTTAGTTCATTCTCAGTTTTGTGCAACCACTTTTCTCTGTCTGGTTTCAGATCTTTTTCATCACCCTGAATGGAAACTCTTTACTCATTAATCATTCACTTCCTGTTTTGCCTCTCTCTCCTCCCACTTCACAGACCCTGAAAGTAACTACTTTGTTTTCTGTTGCCTGGATTTTCCTATTCTAGATATTTCATAAAAACAGTCACTCAATATATGATCTTTTGTGTCTATGCTGCTTTCACTTAGCACAAATGCTTTCAAAGTTCATCCATGTTATAGTATGTGGTAGTGCTTTTGTTCTTTTTATGGTCTAATAATATTCTGCTGTATGGATATATCACATTTATCTGTTTATCCGTTTGTATCGTTTTCACCTTTTTTGCTATTATGAATAATGCTTATATGAACATACAGGTATCTGTTTGAAAACCTGTTTTCCATTCTTTTGTTTTATACTTAGGATGGGAATTGCTGTGTCATGTGGTAATTTTATGTTTAAGTTATTGAGAAACTGCCATACTTACTTTTTTCTTACAGTAGCTATACCAATTACATTTCCACTAGCAATGTATGAGGGTTCCAGGTTCTTTATATATTCACCAACACTTTTTTTTTCTCTCTCTCTCTTCCTTTTATACTTTCCTTTTCCTTCTCCGCTCTTCCTTCATTCTTAATCCTAGTGGGTATGAAATGATATGTCATTGTGGTTTTGATTACATTTTTATGTGTTTCCATATAAATTTTAGGGGTATTTTTCCTTCTTCTGGAAAGAATGTTATTGATATTTTTATAGGGATTTCGGTGAATCTATAGATTTCTTGATTTAATGTGGACATTTTAACAATGACATTTTAACAACATTGAGCCTGTTTTCATTTTATTTTATTTTTTTGTTCCTGAAGAAGATCAACAATACTGACTCAACCCATGACCATGAATATCTTTCTATTCTTTTGGCATTCTGTGTTTTTTTTCATCAATGTTTTATGGTTTCATTGCAGAGATCTTTTACTTCTTTGGTTTGGATTTGCACTTCCTAATGACTAATGACACTGAGTGTCTTCTAAGATGCTTTTTGTCATTTGTATTTTTTTTGGAGAAATGTCTATTCACATTCTTTGTCCATTAAAAATTTTTTTTTTATCTTACTGAGTTGTAAGATTTTGTTTTTAAATTTTGAATGCTATAACTTTTTCCTTAAAGAGGTGGGATCTTGCTATGTTGCCCAGGCTGGCTTGAAACTTGGCCTCAAGCAATTCCCTCCTGCCTTGGTCTTCTGGAGTGCTGGGATTACAGGTGTGAGCCATTGTGGTTGGCCTGGATACTATACTTTTATCAGTTACCTTATTTGCAAATATTTTCTCCCATTTAATGAGTTGGTTGCCTTTTCACTATTCCAATAGTGTTCATTGATGAATAAAAGTTTCAAATTTGGTGATGTCCATTATCATTTTTCTCTTGTTATTTGTGGTTTTGTGGTTATATCTGTGAAATCATTGGCAAAGACAAATCATGAAAATGTACTGCTGTGTTTTTTTCTAAGAGCTTCATAATTTTAGCTGTTATATAATATTTAGATCTTCTCTTTATTTAAGTTTATTTTTGAATATGGTGTGAGGCAAGGGTCCAAGTTCATACTTTTGCATATGGCTGTTCAGTTGTTCTAGAACTATTTGTTGAAAGTTTATTTTTCTCCCATGAATGGTTTTTGGCATCCTTGTTGAAAATCAATTATTGGTCATAGATATATGGGTTTATTTCTACACTTTCAGTTCTATCCCATAGATCTGTATGTTTACCCTTTGCCAGTACCAACATTGTTTTTATTACTATAGCTTTATAGTAAATTTTGAAACTGAAATGTGAGTCCTCTAATTTTGTTTGCCTTTTTCAAGATTGTTTTGGTTCTTCTGAGCCTCTCCCAGTTGTTAGATAAGTTCATCCATTTCTGCAAAACAGGCTGTTGGAATTTTGGTAGGGATTGAATGGAATCTGGAGGTCACTTTTGGGAGTAATGCCCAACTACTAACCAAAATAGTTAATAAAGGCTTTCAGTCCTTGATTAGGAGATATCTTTTCATTTACTTAGGGTTTCTTTAATTTCTTATTTATTTATTTATTGCATTTTAGGTTTTGGGGTACATGTGAAGAACATGCAAGATAGTTGCATAGGTACACACGTGGCAGTGTGATTTGCTGCCTTCCTTCCCTTCACCTATATCTGGCATTTCTCCCCATGCTATCTCTCCCCAACTCCCCATCCCCCCATTGTCCCTCCCCTATTCCCCCCAACAGACCCCAGTGTGTAGTGCTCCCCTCCCTGTGTCCATATGTTCTCATTGTTCAACACCCACCTATGAGTGGGAACATGCGGTATTTCATTTTCTGTTCTTGTGTCAGTTTGCTAAGAATGATGGTCTCCAGGTTCATCCATGTCCCTACAAAGGACACGAACTCATCGTTTTTGATGGCTGCATAATATTCCATTTGGAATATTCCAATCTAATATGCGCCACATTTTCTTTAATTTCTTACAACATGTTTTGATATTTTCAGCATGAAAGTCTTACATTGCCTTGATTAAATTTGATGGGTATTTTATTCTTTTTGATACTATTGTAAGTAGATTTTTTTTTTCTTATTTTCCCTTTCAGATTTGTCATTGCTTTTATATAGAAATACAACTGATTTTGGCCTTTTGATCTTATATTTTGTAACTTTTCTGAATTGGTCCATCAGCCTTAATTTTTTTTTTGGTGGATTTTTTTGACTCTTTTGGCCATTTTGAATAATGGGCTACAAACACGATTGTTCAAGTATCTCTTTTATAAAGACAGTCTTGTAAACTTTCTTTATTTTATTCATTATTTTTTTGAGATGGAGTCTCACTTTATCACCCAGGGTGGACTACAGTGGCGCCAACTCGGCTCACTGCAACCCCTGCCACCCAGGTTCAAGAGATTCTCCTGCCTCAGCCTCCTGAGTAACTGGGATTACAGGTACCTGCCACCGCGCCCAGCTAATTTTTGTATTTTCAGTAGAGATGGGGTTTCACCATGTTGGCCAGGCTGGTCTTGAACTCCTGACCTTGTGATCTACCTGCCTTGGCCTCCCAAAGGGCTGGGATTATAGGCATGAGCCACCATGCCTGGCCTTGTAAACTTATTACAAATGTCTGTTCTGTGATGTGGAAGCAAAACCAAAACTTAATACAGATGTAATCATTGTGTATCTTTGTGAGGTAGCTACTGTTATTATATCCATTTTCAGATAAAGAAACTAAAGCAAAAAGAATGTAAATACTTATTTGCCTAGGATAACACTGTGTATTAAATAAATTAATTTTAATCTTTTATTCTAGTCATATTTAATCTAAACTCTGTCAGTAAAATGTCTGGCTCTTCCCTAAAATTTTCCATGTGGCAGTTCATAGGTAACTAATTTTAATATCTTCCAATTGGTATAAATGCAGTTACATCAAAATCATAGGCCCTATTTAACCTGCTATGTAATAATTTATATTACTTTCTTTAAATACATTATAGATTTTAATATTTATTTGAGCTTTGGAATCTCAAAGTGTTGATTTTTTGATTAAAGTTGCCCTGGTATTTTAAAATGTCTTCCTAGTATTTTTTGGTGGACTTGTATTTCTGCATTAGCGAAAGAGCCAGATATTCCATAGATTGCTCTTACTATTTTTCTCTGTGAACTACTATGAATTTAATCGTTTATAACAAATTTCTAAATAAAAAGGAATATTTTAAATGCCTCTTGTCATATAGTTTATTATTAAAATTTCATTTTTTTTCCTAGTGGGAAAGGAGTCTAAGGAATAAAGTCATCTCTCTAGACCATAAAAATAAAAAAGGTATCCGAGGGTGTCCTGTCACTCCCAAGTCGTCACCAGAAAGGTAAGATATGTGTGTGTGTGACATAGTATGGGCTTTTCCTATGAAATGTGACCATAAATGATGCATTTAAGCTCGTTGAGTCTCAGTTATGACCACAAAATTTAAAATAGAAGGTTTGAATTCAGTCGCCTTTAAGATTCTTCCAAGCCTTTAACTTTCTGTGATTTTACGTATCTGAACTTTCTTGTTTTTGTGCATTTGGAACATCTTGATAAGCTTTTGCTGATAATGCCAGGGTTATACGTAGACTATAATGATGGTTGAGTCATTATTTATGATCAGTAGTGAGAAATGATGCTCTGTTTCTTCTTCTTCTTTTTTAAAAGGCTAGTCAAATGAAACAGTGGGAGTGGAGCAGGAACAAAGACATCTGTAACTGGTAATCAATTGGTTGTAAACACCTCTGTACTTGGGCCAGCCAAAGATGCTCCATTTAGCAACTCTGCTACTATAGTCATAGTGTTAACAAATTACTTATATAGGGGAATTAAATATCTGGAGGACTCAAATTACAGTTGTTACTATAAATAATATAGAACATTTCAGAATTGGACATCAGTCAATGATTTTAGAAAGTTGTTCTTTTAAAAAAGAGTATTGAATTTCCTTTTTAACATAGTGAATGAAAAAATGACCATAGTAAATTATAATTGTTGGAAAGTCACACAAATTTAGAAGACTGAGTGGGATCCTTGAATTTATGTCAAAGTACTTCTATAAGCTTCTTAGTGTAATTCCCCTTTTCAAGTAAATTGTGTGTAGGAAATGTAAAATATATTGGTGACTCCATAGCAGTTTATGAGCCTCTTGGCATTCTACCTTGCCAGGGATAAATTATCAGGGTGAATAAGCAGGTCTACTGATGCAATGATGATGCTTTTATCCTTAGAACAAGCACACACTCAGTTTTCAGACTTGGTTTCCCAAAAAGATTTATATCAAAAGTTCTATTTGGTTTGAGAGATGGAATGCTACAATTAAAAGAATCATAATCTTTAACTAATAAAAATCAAGTCACATTTTCTGAAAGTTTTGCACATACAAAGTTGTTTTATCTTATGGGATACATATCCTGAAGACTGCGTGCTTCAAAACTTAGATCATTCAGGCCGGCTTGGTGACTCACACTTGTAGTCCCAGTACTTTGGGAGATTGAGGCAGGTTGATCACTTCATTGCAGGAGTTCAAGACCAGCTTGGGCAACATGGTGAAACACCATCTCTGCAAAAAATTAATAAAAGCCAAAATAAGAAATGCTTACTTATATTATTTAAATCTCACTTTTCCATAAGAATGCTTGTAAAGTGGTGGGCACAGGTTCTTTGGGATATCAATCAATAACTTTGCAGCATGTTATTACTTTAATATTGCATTTTAGTTTTCTGGCATTATCTGTGATATTTTTTCAGTTTGTTTCTTCTAAATTATCAGCCTAGCATAAAATGAAAATTGTTTGGCCTTCCTTACAGAATTTATGGCATCTGACTTCTCTTCCAGAGTTAGTGATTTTCAGGCATGTTCACAGCATTAGTGTTATAATATCTATTTAATATACACTTAATGATATTGTTAGAAGATGAAAAGATTTAAAAATTCAGTAGCAGTACAAATTGAATTAAAAGTACAATAATGACCCAAATCAGCATCTTTTTAATAAACAAAAAGAACAATGTTGTTGACATGATCCTGACAAAGGAAAATGATATATTTTTAAACTGATACAAGTGATGTAGCCAACAGGGAATAGTGTGTAATTAATTAGTTTTATAGTTTACTCAGCCAATTTTTGAATAATAGAATGTGATTTTTGACAGATTTTAAAAATCTAGAGGGCTTTGTATTATTTCAAAATTTTTTACTTAAGACACATGTTTTATATATAGAACTAATTATATATAAATACATAATTAGTTGAATTCACAATGTTAATGAAATATTTCTGCATTGTATTTGTGGGGATGTGTTTGAATATTGAAAACTGGAATTTAGAAAAATATCTCTAATGTATGGTAGAAAGGACCTGAGTCACTTTCAAATCCCAGTTGTCTTAAGCTTTGAGGGGGCATCTTGTCTATACTTTAGTTTTCCTCTGCTGAAAGTTCTGGAGCTTTTGATTCTCAACCTTTTTCTGAATGTTCTACTTCTAAAAGGTAGGTAATGGGATGGTTATGATATCTAGGATGTTTGGGAATGAAGGTGGGATAGAACATGATGAGTTGTTTAGATGAAGCTGGCATATGATAGTTAAGTTAGTAGGCAGAATTAGGAAGTGACTTGGTTCAAAACAACAGGAATGGGAAATTGTGATGTATTTGCTTCACAGCACAAGAATTTTGTAAAGTTCTCTTGGGCAGATTATTTTTAGAAGAAAACCAGTTTGGTTTTTCTGTTTTAATGGGATTCTTTTATCCTCTCTTGACCTCATTTTCACTATCAGTGAGCTTACAGAATTTGTGCCTACAGACTTAGTTCTCTGTTAGTATAATTTTTTAAAAGTAAAATTGTACTGTTCTTCCTCTTCCACTAATTATTTGGCATATCAGTCATAAGAGTATGTGAGCAATATCAGGTTGGAACTGAACACTCTCTATTTATAATAATGGCAGCTAGTATCTATTGAGTTCTTATTATATGTTAGGCATTAGGCTAAGCCTGAACTGTCTTACTTAATTTTCACAAGTCTGTGAGATGTAGGTAGTATTGGCCTTATCTCATAGCTGAGGAAATTTAGGTCTGGTTACTATAATGGAGAGGAATATTATTAATGCATCTCTAGGAAACCTAGTTTAGTATTCACAGACTTAAATTTTTATTTTAGTACCATTGAATTCTCCTAGGCTCTCTGAAACATTTTATAAATTGTTGCTGTGCAAAGCAAAACCAAAGCAACAAAAATACAACTGGAGAGAGGGAAAAAGTTTCCACATGTTTGTATTACTTTGGAACTGCTGACTCTATCTACTGTCTTTAATATTGTTTTAAATATTTTAATATGATTTAGTGATTTTTTAAAAATTAAGTTTTATTGTGATATAACTTACATATCATAAAATTCACCCATTTTGATTCAATAATTAAATAATCTTTACTATATTTACAGAATTGTGACCTATCACCACAGTCTGGTGATGGTTTTAGAACATTTCCCTCATGCTCCAAAAGAAACTGCTCATTTACAGTCACTTTCCATTCTTACCTACAGCTGTAAGGATCCACTAACCTATTTTCTGTCTCCATAAGATTTGATTTTTTGGACATTTCATATAGACAGAATGATACAATATGTTTGTTCTTTTTTTGTCTGGCTTTCACTGACCATAATGTTTTGACATTTATTAATATTGTAGCATATGTCAGTATTTCACTTCCTTTTATATCACATTGTGTTTAGTCACCAGTTGGATTTTTATGTTGTTTCTACTTTTTAGCTATTATGATAATGTTGTAAACATTCCTGTACTAGTGTTTGCAAGTGTTTGTGTAGACATATGTTTTATTTTTCCTTTTTCTTTTTTCTTTCGTGATGGAGTCTCACTTTGTTGCCCAGGCTGGAGTGCAGTGGTGAAAAAAACAGCTCACTGCAGCCTCAACCTCCCAGGCTCAAGCTATCCTCCCACCTCAGCCCAACAAGTAGTTGGGACTACAGGCACGCACAACCATGATGGGCCAATTATTCTATTTTTTTGTACAGATGAGGTTTTGCCATGTTGCCTTTTGGCTGGTCTTGAACTCCAGAGCTCAAGTGATCTGTCTACCTTGGTCTCCCAAAGTGCTGGGGTTACAGGCATGAGCCACTGTGCCCATCCTTAGACATATATCTTGAATAGATAATTAGGATTAGAATTGCTGTGTCATGCATTAATATTGTTTAACGTTTTGAGCAACTGCTGAGTTTTTTTCAAAATGACTGTACCATTTTGCATTCCCACCAGCAACGTATGAGGGATTCATGTTTCTCTACATCCTCACCAACACTTATCTCCTTCCATTGTTTATTCCTTCCATTTCTCTTAGTGGGTGTGAAATGGTATTTCACTGTGGTTTTGATTGGCATTTCCTAATAACTAAATGACGTTGATTGTCTTTTCATATGCTAATTGGTCATTTGTATGTCTTTTTGGAATTGTCTACTCAGATCCTTTGCCCATTTTAAAATTGGGTTGATTATCTTTTTGTTGTAAGAGTTAAAAAAAATACTTTCTGGGTACAAGTCCCTTATCAGATATATGATTTTCATATATTTTGTCTCATTCTTTTTGCTAGTTTCTCACACTCTTGCTGGTGTCTTTTGAAACAAAAGTTTTAAATTTTGATGAAGCCCCATTTATCTATTTTTTTTTTTAATATCTGTGCTTTTGGTGTTATATCTAAGAAACCATTGCCTAATCCAAGGTCATGATCATTTACTCCTGTGTTTTCTTCTAAGAGTTTTATAATTTTAGCTCTTAGATTTAGGTCTTTGATCCATTTTAGTTAAGTTTTGGGTATAGAATGAAATAGGCACCCTAATTAATATTTTTGCCTTTGGATATTCATGTGTCCCAGCACCATTTGTTGAAAAGACAAATGGTGTCTCTTCATTATATTCCATTGAATTTTCTTGGAACCTTTGTGAAGTATTTGTTGATAGTAAATGTCAGGGTTTATTTCTGGATTCTCAGTTCTCTTCCATTGATCTATATGTCTCTCCATATGCTGGTTACCGCCATGTGCTATTGCAACTTTGTAGTAAGTTTTGAAATTGAGAAGTGTGAGTCTTACAACCTTGTTATTTTTTATTTTCAAGATTTTCTGGGACTGCTCTGGGTTTCTTGCATTTTCAGTTGAATTTTAGAATCAGCTTGTCATTTTTAACAAAATCCAGCAAGGATTTTGACAGTGATTGTATTGAATCTATAGACAAAATTGGGGAATATTGCCATCTTAACAGTATTGTCCACCTCATGCCAGTTAGAATGGCGATCATTAGAATATCTGGAGACAACAGATGCTGGAGAGGA